CTCTCTCTCTCTCTCTCTCTCTCTCTCTCTCTCTCTCTCTCTCTCTCCCTCTCTCTCCCTGACTGACCTGGAACTTGGGAAATTGTCACTGCGTGAACCCAGGGATAAACCTATCTCTGCTTCCTCAGATCTGGAATTGTGAGTGTGTGTGAGCTCTGGAAACTTGGTACATTTACTTACTGTGATCTCTGTCCAGCCCTTACTTCTGTGACTTCTGAAAGCACTTTCTTCAGTTCTGTTTGAACTCTTAATGCCCACTTCATAACAAAAAAAGATTACAAACAAAACCATACTGTAGCTCAGTCTGGCCTCTTGATAAATGCATAAAAATAGCACTGTTGAGGACCTAAGGAATGAGGCCTTTATGGGCCTCAAACTATATCCCTTCTTAGGTTTTATTAATCACACATCATTTGTTGAATAGAGACATTAATCTGCATTTCAGGAGAATGGTTTTCTGGATTGTCATTCTTGATGTGGTGTATCTATACGGTGAAATGTTATTCACCTGATGATGTGTGGATACACTCTGCAATGCTTATGAGCTTGGACGATATATTAAAGAAGACAGACACAAAAGGCCACATGTGTGCTTTTGTTCATGTGAAATGTATAGAACAGGTAACTCCACAGAGATAAAAAGCAAATTAATGGTTCCTTCGGGTTGATGGAGGGAGGGCAGGAGAGGGATGATCACTATAGGGTACTGGCTTTCTCTTTCAGGTGATGGGACTGTTCAAGGGTTGGCTGTGGTGAGGCTTTCATACACTGTGTATTGCAAACACCACTGGCAAACACCACTGGCTCACACTTTGTGTGACTTTTTACTTTGCTATGACAAAATACGTGACTACAGCAACTTAAGGAGGAAGGAAGGAAGGAAGGAAGAAGGAAAGAAAGAAAGAAAGAAAGAAAGAAAAGAAGGAGGAAGAAAGGGATGGAAGGAAGGAGAAATGGAAGAAAGAAAGAAAAGAAGGAAGGGAAAGAGGAGGAAAAGATGAGAGGAGTGAAGGAAGGGAGGAAGGTGGAAAGGAAGGAGGGAAGGAGGGAAAGGAGGAAGGAGGAAGATTTACTTGGGCTCATAGATTGAGGGTTTACAGTCTGTCATGGCAGGCAATACATAGTGGGAAAGAGTGAGGCAGTGGGTCACATCAAGATCACAGGCAGAAAACACAGAGGCAAATGATGTGCTTAGCTGGCTTTATATGTTCTCGTTTTCTTTCAGTCTAGGACACCAGTTCATGGAATGGTTGTAGGAGGGAGGCTGCTTGTTGGTTCCCAAATGTTCAGCCCCAAAATGATCACACAGAAACTATATTAATTAAATCAGTGCTTGGCCCATTAGCTCTAGCTTCTTATTGACTAACTCTTACATATTAAGTTAACTCATTCCTATTAATCTGTGTATTGCCACGTGGCTGTGGCTTACTGGCTCAAGTTTCAGCATCTGCCTCTGGCGGGGCTACATGGCTTCTCTCTGACTTCACCCTTCCCAGCATTCACCTTAATCTTCCCCACCTAGCTTCATTCTACCCTGTCACAGGCTCAAGAAAGTTTCTTTATTAACCAATGGTATTCACAGCATACAGAGGGGAATCCCATGTCACCTCCCCTTTTCTGTTTAAATAAAAAGGAAGATTTAACTTTAACATAGCAAAATTACATACAACAAAGCAGGTATCAAGCGAGAATTACAGTTTTTAATCTTTTATCATGACTAAGGAAAACTATATTATTACTATCTATTCTTCAACTTCATCAAAGACTCCAGAAGGATACAATATTATCTAAATAGACAGAAAGTACATTGTAAGCAACTTCCAAAACTCTAGAATTGACAGACATCTCACTGCCTGTCCAGTCACCCAAAGTTCTTCTGTACCATTGGCGCATCTATCTTCAGCCTACAGGCCCGTAGTATCCAGCAGACTTTTTTCATGAAGCAGGAAATTTCAAAGATAGTTCTTCCTATATTGGCAGTTTGTCAGTCACTTTCTTCTATGTTCTGTGGAATGTTTGGCAGACTTTTTCATGTAGCAGAAACCCCAAAGAACCATCTCACCTTGAGGCAAGTTCAGCCGTCATTTCTCTGTGGGTCCTGCATGTTCAGTTTTTACAGCATACCATGAAGCAGTCCAGGCAAGAGCAGTTTCTTGCCCAAATGGCTAACGAACTCTGTGAAGAGCCTCTTTGATGCCCATCATCCTCTTGAGGTATCTTGGTGCAGCCAGGAACAGATGCATCTCACTGTAATAAAAAGTCCTAAGTTCTTAAACATTTTAAATGCCATATTCTGTAGTCTTTGAAAGATTTTAAGAATACATATGTAACTGTAATATATCTCTTTAGATCTAAGAAACCTAAAATGACTCCAAGCTTGACTATTATAGATGACTCTCTATTAACCTATATATCTTAATTATGCATTACATTTTTAAATGAGCACAATACCTTAAGCAAGAGCAAAAAAATATATATAACAAAATTGACCTAAAACTTGTATCAATAGAGCAATATCCATACAAATGCAAATCTCTATATCATATCCCCCTTTAAATGTAAAGAAACATTTATAGACAATATTTGGGAATTTGGGTGTAGGTCTCTAGACTACTTCGTGCTGATTGGGGCACTGTTAATCAGGTCTTTCATGGTGTATCCTGTGTGCTAGGTTTATCTCAGTCAGCAGTTGGGTGAAGTAATTTTTTGGGGGTGTTCATGGGGACCTTTCAAGGGATCTTGGTTCATCAAACCATAGTAGTCTGGAAGGAATCCACAGGTTCTCATCTTCTGTGGAAACAAAAGAAGAACCTCTTTTCCAAAGCAACATATCCTTAGACCCATATTTTGAAGGCAAGATACATTTAAAGTATATATGTTGGTTACTTAGCTTCTTCACAGTCAAAAAATTCAAATAAAACACAACAATATACGTAATCTAGACTGTCTTGTATATTCCATCTTTACATGGCTTATTCTTTTTTACTTCTTTTAATCTATGACTGTCTGTACTCTGTCTCTTTAAAGACTTTACCTTTTTTAAAAAACCATTTACTTCTTTTTATAACTTCCTATATATTTTTTCTTTTCTCTCCCAAGCCTACATAAATTTATTCAACACTGTGATGCATTTAGAAGTCTTTTCCATCTGACTTTTCCATTTGCCTTTATTGTATATCTTTAATTCTTTACTGTCCAGGAACACTTCTTAAAATGCTAAGTGCTTCTTATGAGCTTAAGCTATGCCGTTGCTAGGGGAAATATGACACTTCCTGCTTGCCCTGCCCAGCCCAGCATGGTGGAGCTGCTCACCACCTCTGAGAGCCATGCACAATGCCCCATCTCTAGGTACAATAGCCAGTCCATGTTGCCACCAAGCAAGCCATAGCATATTGCTCACAAATCCTATTCAAATGCTCAGTCTCCTGAAAGAACCAGAGGCCATGGTGGCAGCATGGCCCAGAAAGCCAGCATTTCAAAATGACGTGGCTTTATGTCTGCTGCCACTGAATCAGGAAAACCTCTCTTAAAGGAGCTGCAGCATGCTGCCAGCAAACATCAAGAAGCTGTGTTAATCTCTGTATTTTTGTGTCTAGAGTTTGTTTCCAAGCTCTCTCAGGTTTTAAAGTAGATTTTAGTTGCCCATGTGGGTGCCAATCTGCAGGAGAGAGGGCGTTTGTTGGTTCCTGACTGCTCTATCCTGAAATAATCACAAAAAACTATATTAATTAAATCACTGCTTGTACCATTAGCTCTAGCTTCTTACTGGATAACTCTTACATCAGAATTTAACCCATTTCTATTAATCTGTGTATTGCCATGTGGCTGTGGCTTACTGGCTAAAGTTCTAGCATCTGTCTGTCTCATGGCTTCTCTCTGACTCCACTCTTCTTTTTCCCAGTATTCAGCTTAGTCTTTCCTGTCCAGCTTCATTCTACCCTATCATGGGCTCAAGACAGTTTCTTTATTAACCAATGGTATTCACAGCATACAAAGGGGAATCCAATTTCAAATGGTGCCACCCACATCAGAGCATGTCTTCCGCTCAGTTAAAGTTTTCTGGAGCACACTTACAGACATGCCCAGAGCTGTGTCTTCTCGAGAATTCCAAGTCCAGGCAAGCTGACAGTGAAGGGTTTTCACACAAACTTCAAATGGATACCCAATGCAATATGTGGATATCCCAAATGATGTTATTTTATGAAGAAATTTCTTACTTTTTGCAATGAATGTCGCTATAGTGGCAAAGGATGATGATACCATGACAACTTGTCCCACCCAGAGGTATTCTGGTGAGAAAAAAAAAACACATAACTGTAATATGATGGGCCAGCTTGTTGGGGTTTCTGTCCTGCCCAGTACCCCAACAGCCGGCAAGCAACAAAGAAAATCACACATAAGACTCCATAAGGTTATAAACTGATTGGCCCATAGGGTCAGGCTTCTTGCTAACTCTTATAACTTATATTAACCCATTATTCTGATCTATGTTAGCCATAATGGCTCCATACCTTTTTCAGCTGGGCAGGTCACATGCTGTCTCTTCGGTGGTCTGTACAGGAGTGGCTGAGAGAGCTTCTGCTTCCAGAATACTCCCAGTCTCTTTGCTCCACCCCTACTTCCTGTCTGGCTTTCCCGCCTATACTGCCTGCCTGGCCAATCAGCGTTTTATTAAAATATGATTGACAGAATACAGATAATTCTCCCGCACCACATAACACCAGTAGACCAAACTTTCAGATTTCTGCTTGGTAGAGGGGAAAGAACTTCCTCTATCAAAGGGCTGTTGTCAGGGGAAATAAGATAAGGTACAGCCAGCATTTAGAGTCTGGCATGTCACAGGCTCTCAAGAGGTGGTAGTGGACATTGTCCTTATATGCTAGAATATTGGAATGGAATGGCCCTGGGGTAATCTGGTTGGAAAGAGTCACCGGAGGTCACGCCTGAAGCTGTAATATTTGCAGATCACCTTCGCTGCATCAGCTTAGGTCCTGCGTGACAATAAAAATATATTTACACTTCTCCAAAGATGCTTTTATTCACACCTCTCACAAGGCTGTGAACATATTTATGTCAAATAACAACAGTGTTATTGTTTTTGAGCAATCTGAAGTATCTTCAACGAGTGGTGGCAGAGGAATTAAAATTTCCCTGATTCTTGTAAATCACCCATAAGCGCTTTTAGAAATTGGAATGTCTACGTATGAGGGACACTGGGCAGAGTCAAGGGCTGACCCTGGATCTGTCTCTGCCACTCATCAATGGTGTAACATAAGGAAATGATTTCTTGGGGCTTCAATATTTTCACTTATAAAACAAGAAGGTGGTGATGGCAGTGGTGGGAGCTGTTTCTGAACAGCCTGTGACAATGATGCAAACATTATCACCAGCCCAGTGAGCAGGACCAGACATCCTGAAGAATCTCCTACACACTAGATCTGCTTCTGTTCCAAAGATGTGGAAAGAAGCTGGCAGCAAACCTGCTGGAGAAACAGCTTGCTTCTTGTTCCATCTAATTATCGATTCTCCACATGATTCTGGGTCTCCAGCATCTCTTTTACCCCAAATTTACTTGTGTGAGTCCTGGCTTGGAAACAGCAGCCATGGAGATGTATTCCAGTTAGTATGAGACCATTAATACAGCTCTCCTCAGGACAGGGATCCATGGAGATGTATTCCAGTTAGTATGAGACCATTAATACGCCTCTTCTCAGGACAGGGAAATTTTAAAATAGAGACAGAGAGAGGAAAACACCCTGTGAAAATGGAGGCAGAGGTTGGACCCATGTTGCTATAAGCCAAGGGACACCAGTAACTGGCAGAAACTAGGAGAAAGTTTGGCAACAGAGTCTCTTTCAGGGGCTTTCAGAAGGAGCTAACCTTGGCTTTCTAGCCAAGGAGGTACCAGTCCCATCTTCAGGGTTGGTGAAGATAGTCATGTGGCCGAGATTGTCATGTGTGTTGGAATGTTGGAACGTGGACACTCCCAATGAGGTTATTTGACATCTGACACCTCCTTCATTTACAACGCTTTGAAATGTTACCAGCTGGACAAGATGGTGGTTCTCATTCTCTTGTGATGATCAGAGCTGCCCAAATGATGGACCAAAAGCTGTACTTGGCTTTTATAATAGGAAAGCAGGGCATATTAAGTGTACTGTCATATGAACTTTAAAACAGTTCTTGAAATGCATAAACACATGTGTCTGTGCATGTGTGTGCGAAAAATAATTGAACACATTCTCTGGGAGAGGAAAACCCTTTGCTTTCAAAATACCTTTGGATACAACCTCTGCTAAGACCTGTGATTGGTTCTCCTAGACAGAGGAGGTCCACACTCACTGCTAGAGACAGACAGTGCATAGGAACACAAGATGATCCTTCTTCCTGTAATAATAGTAGATAGCATCAGGAAGCATTTTAAGTGTCCTGCGATAGGGACTTCTGACTGATACCCAGACTGGCCAGCTCAGGGCTCTGCAGGAACACAGACCAGCCAGTCTTTCTTTAGGGCCACTGGAGGGGGACTGATGCCATGCACCCTGTGTTGCACTTCTCAGTGTATATCACTGTCGCTGTGCCTTGCATGGAATATTGGAGCTGAACTCCCTAGAAAGTGCTTTTGCCTGGTCTGGGCTGTGTCCTGCCTCTTAAGACATGTTTCTGTTGACTGACTTTATTGACCTATGAATATAAAGTGTCTCCACCGAGCAGGTCTGAAGACATCTTGAAGACCTCCAGTGTGGGTGGCAATGAGCCTACAGCCACTAAGAGTGTGACAGACAGCACCATGCAGAATCCGTGAACCACCCAGGACGGGAGAGCAGCAATGCCTGAGCATGGGACTGAGACCCAAGAAGCTTCAAAGTAGCAGTGGTCTGGATGAAGGAGGGTTTGTATTCATAGAGTCCTTCCAAATCCTTATATCCTTAGCCCTGGAGTGGGGAGATCTTGCCAGGCCTGGGGACCTAGGACTCTTCCCTGCAACACAGGTTGCGGTGTCCCAGACCTTCAATGAGGCCCGTCCATCCACACAGTCACAGGAACGATATGGAAGCCGTCTCAGAGGACCCTGCCCACTTCTGTTCCTTGTTGGAACCACCCGCCTATACCCCCTACTGCTTTTGATCTTCCTCCCACTCGGCTTGGCCCAGCTCGGAGGTCTCCTGCTGCGTTGCCCCAGGATGGGTCCCCAGCTCACAGGGTTTCACTCCCTCTATCACAGCTCAGATCTGACCTCCTGCCTGCTGCACTGTGGCAGTAGGAACCCTCTGAGGTCCCCAGGAGGGAACAAAGGAGAAAGGTAACTTGGGGCTGAACCGCGGAGGGGTTTGTAGGCTAGGAACAAGTTAGGTAGATGTATTTTGATGGTCAGTGAGAATTGCCCCGTCCCTGGCCTCCTGAATTGCACAATAACGGAGTGATTACAGACAGTGGTCAGGGACTCAGGCTCTGGTCACTTCCCAGCTGAAGCCATTTCCTGCCAAAGAGGGCATGGCCGAATTCATTAACCTCTTGGTGCCTCAGCTCGCCCATCTCTAAGATGGCAGTGGTAAGAACAGCTTGTTACTGGGTTCTTAGGTGGCCCGATGTCATCACGTGCGCGTGAGAGCTCCCGGCTCTGTGAATCTGCCCTGAGCCACGGCTGTTTAGGAAGCTGCCATCAGCTAGCGTTGGAAGAACACCAGCAGCCTGCTGGATGCGCAGCTGCAGTGAGCCTCCAACGCTCTTTCCTGCCTTCTGCACGACAGGCCTCTACCTCTCCTCTTAGCATTCATCTTTTCCTTCCTCCGCTGGCCCCTGGCCCAGTCTGGCTCTGATGACCTCAGAGGGACCACTGTAGCTGCTTCCCTCAGCTTCCTGCTCATGCCTCATTCTACTCCAGCTTCCCTACTTGCGGCTGCCCGGGTCCCTTCCTTTAGTTTTGAGACCCTCTGTGATCTGACCCTTGTCTGAAGTTCTCAGAAGAATGAGAACCTGAGAAGTCTGAACCCAGGTTCAAATGTGAGTCACACTACATCTGAGTGGTGAAGTTTTGATTTTTCTATTTATGGAAAACAACAACAAACAAACAAGCAAAAAAAGATGGACCATACCTGCCTTGTCAACCAGACAAGAATGCTTGAGGTGAGGTGTGGATGGTTGTAACCCAGACAACAGATTGCTGTTTTGGGACCTCACTGTCTTCCTTTCTTCAGGGATTGGTCCATGCTTTTCACTTCCCTGTAGGGTCTTTCTTGTCACCCTGAGTCACCATTGTCCAAATTAGTTTTTCATTTAGAGCTGGTCACACGCTGTGTTTTGAGAATCTTCCCTCTTTCCTCCATTGGAAGTCATTTTCTGTTTGTATTTTCTGTGTCTGATGCAACCCAACTCTCAGATGCGCCTTCCTGGGTCTGCATTCAAACCCCTCCTCCATTGGAGTTGCCCTGTATTTCCCATGCATCACCCACCCACCCACTCAACGGGTGCTGAGGAGCCCTTGCTCAAAGGGTGGGAAGGTGTAGATGGATGAATGCCCTGAGGCAGGATGGGTATAAAGGGATGGACCTGAGATGGCAGCTATCTAATAGCCCCCCCCCTCCCTCTCCCTCCTCCTCTCCTTCTCTTCTTCCCTCTCTCTTTCTTGATTGCATATTTTCTTGCTTTTTGTTGTGACAGAGACTTTGTAGCCCTGGTTGGCTTCAAACTCAAAATTCCTATGTAATTGAGGATGGCCCTGAACTCATGATCCTCTTGTCACTATTCCGGAGTTCTGAGATTATAGGCGTGTGCACACACCGGGTTATGCAAAGCACTGAGTGCTGAGGAGTAAACCCAGGCCTTTGTGCCTGCCAGGCAAACATGTTACCAACTGAGCTACATTCTCAGTCTCTGGGTAGCCATTCTCAGCATGTGGCCCAGATGTTACACACAGGATGAATCCAGAGTACTTAGAGAAAAGGGATTCTGGTGCAGAAATGGAAGGAGTGGTCAGAGAGGGGCCTCGTCTAGGCCATGCGCAGACCAACTGTTTACTTAAAAATGTATATGTTGCTCACTCCTTCAGGTGAGGACAGGAGGTTGACATGCTCCCAGGGGCATGACACTCCTGCTGGAGATTCTCAGAAAGTGCCTTCTAGAATGGGATATGGAGGCTGGGATCCCACCGGAGCAGAGTCTCTGACACAGACCAGGTTCCATACATAGACACACACAATGAGTTGTGGGGAACTGGAACACCATATGGAACAAAAGGCCTTGGGGACATTTGTGATTCCATAGCTCTCTCCCTGGACACAGTAAAGCC